TCTCTCTCTCTCTCTCTCTCTCTCTCTTCTGTTTCTCTGTGTGCGTGTGTTTCTCTCTGTGTATGTGTTTCTCTCTCTGCCCCCTCTCTCTCTCTTACAGACACACACGCACGTGCACGCACACACACACAACAACAACAACAAAGCAGAGTAGTTGAGGACCTACAGAACTCTAAGAGAGACCACCTTTCTCAGTGTCCACTTAACCAAGAGGAAACCACCTTACTCTTTGCTTTTTGCAATAGCACTTTGGTTTAAAACACAATAACATAAACATTTGAAGACAAGAATCATATCCAGTGATCTTGATGAGGAAGACTGCGTTATGAGAGAAATGCTTTCATTTAATCACGCGAAGAACTGCCCAGGTGGTTTCAAGAAAGCCATGGCTAAGTCACCAGTGAGAAATTTTGTTAACTCCGAATCTTCCGTCCCTTCTCTCCCTACCTCCCAACCCCAGGACCATGGCTCTGTGCCTGTGACGAGAGTCCTCAGTGGGCCACACTGGAGCTGACTGGGTTTGGCATCTCCTGAGCTCTTATCGCAGGAATGGAATGGCAGGTGTGACCGTTCTCAGGCTCTGATAGCAGTGCCTTTGATGTGTGCTTTGCTTCTGCATCATCCAGACCAAGAATTGGAATTCCCCTCCCCTCTCCATGTGGGTGTGGGCTGAGAAATAGCCGCTAGAGACTGGAGATAGCTCCCTGGCCATCCGGTCAAGTCATTCACAGTATTTATTCTAGAAGATAGTTTTGCAGCCTAATGGCTGCCAAATGTAAACCATTAGTTCATTTCTATCTGCTTTGCATTTCCTCCTCCTAGTCCAAATGTCGCATTTCCCTAATGATCTTGACATTTTCCTATGAGCATAATGTTGTTCCTGGACTTCCAAGCCTTTCCTTTCTACCCGGTTGTTCCCTGTGTGCCTGCCTTCTCTCACAAGCCAGGAAGGGTCAACGGAACTGCTAAGAATGCTTCCTAGTTCCCCGTCTTTGGCTGTTCTGAAGTTGAGGGTGGAAAGGGCAGGGACAAGGCCAAAGCATGGTTCCGTTCCCCACCGCAGCCCAGGGATGGCGGCGGAGTGCTCCCACACTTAGACGGCCCTCCTCTGCTACACGCTGGGACCCTCCGATGCCCTTTGCCAGTTTGAATTGCACACAGTACTCGCAAGCACTTAACACTTGCCCTCCAGAGATGCCTCCTTTAGCTGTCATGCTTCCATAGCTTGGGTGGCAGACAGCCTGCAGATGCTTATAGTCTAATAGCAGCCATTGAGTCGGAGTGGAAGAAGGCTAGAGGTAATGACAGTGGCCTTGTTACCAGGCCTTGCAAACCGAGGAAGACGGCAGGGACCAATGAGGGGGCGCTTGTGGGCCAGTCCTCTTAAGTTTTCCCATTGGTAACCAACCCTTGTTACTAGGTCAGATTTCCCCCCTTTTCTCCTTTCCATGTGTACCTGTGTGTGGTGTGTTTGCATGTGTCTGTGTGTATTCATACCTTGGGTGTACATGTGGAGGGCGGGATGCATGTACGTTACGTGTGCATGCATGTAGAGGTGGGATGTTGCTTTCAGGAATCTTCCTTGATTTCCCTTCCACCTTGGCTCTTAGAGGTGGGATCTCTCAAACCCCAAGCCTGAAGACATGGCTGCTCTCACTGGCCAGTGTGTCCCCCTGGAGATCCCTGTCTCTCCCTTCCGAGTCTGGAGTTACAGGCAGACCACCGTGGGCTCAGGGATCTGACCTCTAGCTCGCTTGTTTGCGCTCTAACCACCGCACCATCCTCCCAACCCCTCACCCAAGACATTTCTGGGCAGCCTGAGTACACAGGTATAGAAAATAGGTACGCAAGTTAAACATTCCACACCAATAATAAGTGATTAACAAATTTATCATAAACCAGTTCTTCAACATACATATTTACCACTTGTTAAAGATGAAAGCAAATTCATATACTAATGAGATGGATATGTTTAATATTACATAAAGAATTGAATATTGGTCGAATGTTTGATCCTGCAGAATAGAGTATGTGTTTCAGAGTTGATCGAAACTTTTGATTTTCAAATTGTCAATGCTGAGAACATCATAAATACATAAATACAAAAATTGGCAGAACTATGTTTACAGCCATTTTAGAAACTGTTGGGAATGTTGTCCTAATCCCAAGCCAAAATTCGTTTTACCGTTTTGGATGAAACCTAAATCAGTGACTCACTGCAGTTTCTAAGATCAAACTTTCTACTATATTATAATGCAAAGACACGGTGATTTGCTACAATCTGTGGAATAACTGTAGGAAAATACTGTCTTTTCTGCCATTAAATCGTTGTTTCCATAAGAGTAGAAAACATGTATTTAAAAAAAAAAGAATAAAAAAATCACAGAAATTTGTAACATACAGTTGCCTCAAATCTGAGCCAAGGTGTTTCCGTGGCACTGTGTGCTGTGACACACATGGTCACATGTTCATGTGTTCATGGTAAGTGTTCAGACCCAAAGCTACCATGAAATTGTACGGTGCAGCACAGATGAGCGGGGACAGCAAAGAGACAGCTCAGCCATTAAAAACACTTGCCGGCTCTTCCAGAGGACCCGAGTTCGGTTCTCAGCACCCACCCGAAACTCTAGCTCTCCGGGATCCAGCATTCTCTCCTGGCTTTCATAACATCACACACATGGTGAGACAGACATACATGTAGGCAAAAGACTGATACACATAGAAAATAGTAGTCCAGGCTGGCCTTGAACTCGCAGAGATCCGCCTGCCCCTTCCTACTGTTAAAGGCATGCGACACCCATCAAAAGCTGGGTTCTTAACAAGAGCCTCAGCCCATCGGGGCAGCTGTCACTTGGTGGGCAGTCCACCTGCTGGTGGTTACTGTTGCTGCAGGAAAACAGGACGGCTCTGTCGATGACAGAACAATAAATAAATAGGCTGGAGATCTATCGTAGAGGCCATGAACGTCAGTTGCATTTTTCCTCATCTGCAAACTGATGGTGAGCGTCGCAGCTTTCTCATTGGTGTGATTGAAATTTAAGTCAGATATTTGTAAAGTAGCTGAAGTACCAAGCACAGACACGGTAGGACTCGAACCATGACGCCGTCATCATTGGCTTCAAGCTTTAGCCAGCATCTTCACCGACATCTACCAGCTCTACCTCACAGGCCCGGGGGACCTTGTAGAGAAGGGGGATTTAGAGGAGGAGCCCACCTGGAGCTGAGAAAGATACCCCAGCAGCATTGCAGGGGAGAGGTGCCAAAGGCTTGTCCTGACGCTTGCACAGTGGCCTCTCTCACAGAGAGTGAGGGCACGCCTGGGCGTGAGGGGGTGCAAGTGCCCCAGACAGAATGTGGCAACGGACTTGTAAGCAGGAGGGGAGGAGGAGGAGGAGGAGGGGACGATGACTGCCATTTCTGTTGCGTGTCAAGAAGCAGTTGCTAGCTGTCACTGGTCTAAAGAGAGATAGAAGAGGGGAAAGTGTCTAGAAGAGGCTCTACGAGCCTCAGCTCAGGGCATCCAAGTCTGAGGTCACAGTGGTACAGCCCCTTGCAGTTATCAGAGGTCCAGGCATGTGGGCTTTGCCCTCAGAAGGTGACTGAGCTGCCCAGAAGAATCGTGTGGCTCTGACTATAGAGTTGGGGTAACTGTCACCACCTGAGACACAGCTCTGGAGAGGCGAGCAAGACAGAGCCTTGGCCTGGCAGGAGCCCTCCTCACCAGAGCCTGCGTTCAGTTCCAAACAGTTTCTTGTTCATCAGTTACAGCGTCAGAGGTAGAAGACCCAGTGGGAAGCAGCCCAAACCACACCCAAGACAAGGTGCTACAGTCACGGGAGCCAGTAGGTGTCAAATGCAGGGCACACATGACAGCAGATTGGAACTCAGGGTCTGCACACCCGCGTGCCGCATGGGTTTCTGATTCAGCATGAAGTGGTGTCCGTTCCCATGAAGTGGTATTTAAAAAATGTCTGTGACACATCCTGTCGGAGACCTCTCTCTCTCCTGTTCCAGTTACGCTCTGTCACTGGAGCCCCAGGCACGCTGTGTTTCTGGGTACCATCTGAACTTTCCCAGCATGCCTCGGTCCCTGGAGGCCTCTCCACTGGCTTGAGGCAGAATATTCTGGAGGAGCTTTTCACCCTAAGTATACTGTTAGAGTCATTTCCTAAAATAGATCTCTTAATCATAAAGCTATTATCTCACAAATAGAGCTGCCTGCTGGTTTTCATGTTAATGAGCTACGGCTGATTTTGACCCCAGCCATTTGTTTGGTTTTCTGGGATTGAGCGGGATCCTTAACAGTCATTCAGAACATGCCAGACAAAGCGAACAGAAATGTGTGATGTCAAAGCAGAATTCACCTAGCAACAAGTCACCGAGCCGCTCAACCAGACTCGTTATCTCTAGAGTGGAAATAACCTCATCAACTCAAAATTCCAGGGACCCTAGAGCTAACAGGGAATTCCTTCCGGGTCTGTCTTAGCATGTTTCTGGGCTGTGGGGAAGACAGGGATCTAGCTCAGACAGGCTTAAGTTGATCCCCAAAGCTCACATGAAAGTGCCAAGTATGACCGTGTGTGTGTGTGTGTGTGTGTGTGTGTGTGTGTGTGTG